TCTGGACATTAGATATATCGTTCGATTCTATCGCGATCGATTGTAACTCTCAGCTTTACTTTCAACTCCATAAAGAAGAATTCGAACGATGCTTGAAATTAAAACATCACATGTTTCTCTGTTCTTCAGATGTTATAAGAAACATTAATAACGACGGCAACTGTATTATTGATAGAACATAGCATCTGCAAAACTTTCACAATTCAGTGCAGGCTACGATATGGAAACAAATGGCCACACCAAATACATGGTTATTAGTTACGAATGAATCAGCCAATATAGCTATTATTTGTGGTGAAGTCCGGGAAGATGTTGAGATTATTGCAACAGGAATTCTTAGCCTGGCTCCCGACTGTATCATAGAAACCAAACAGCTAACACTAACAGCAATACGAGTGGAGCATAGCAGTTTAACCAGCTATTCCAAAGCTGTCTCAATTGATAGACACGACGAACCCACACATATTCAACATTCACAATTTCAGCCAGCATCTGAGTCAGTAATTGTGCACTCAGATGATTTAAGCTCACTAATGACAGAAGAGAAGTCAATTCAGATTGAACTTCAAAACCATATATGGAGAGATAAACGACATCATTCTAGCATAGCTGGAGTGACAACTACCATTGCAACCATCGTGGTAGTTTTGGGTGTCTGGATAAGCATCAAATATCTAAGACTTCGAACAAAACAGAAAAAGACCAACAACAAACCTGAAGAATATGAACCACTGTCCCTGAAGTCGACAAATTGAGAGGCGGCAGAATGTCCATTTATCCAAATTCGAACATTTAATTTTATATTTTTACCACACTGTATGTACATATTAGAATTAATTAATTATAAGCCACCTACTTTTTATTATTGCAAATGACGATCAATCAGCATTTATTGTATATAAAAGGCGATCGATTTCATTAATAAAATCAGATTCAAACTTATTGTTGTTTCTCTTACTTAAATTGTGCCCAAGTCACCATTGGCCTAGCAACGCTAGTAGAGTCGTGAAACTGCGCTCTAACGATTAGGTACTTTTGCTTTAGCCTTATTGAAAACAGCTGTATATCTGATTAATACAACAGTGCTGAAAAATAAAGTTGTTCCAGCTGTAATATGGTATGGTTATAAGCCTAATTTGAATAAAATTGAAGTACTTGGATGAAGAGAGTATGTTCATGTAACAAAAGTAGAAAGATCCAGTAATTTAGATTAGAGATCAAAATTATTGTATAACATTCGTTCCATAATCTGTCAAATGGGCAAGAAGCTTCTTTTGACGGCTTGAAGCATAGTCGGTTATATTTTCTACAACTTCTTTATCTGGATTCCTTAATGTTGTTGAAGCAGGCCTGTAGCCAGGTTTTGATTTCAGAGTGGGCAACTAAACATTTAGGGGGGGCAGACTTATTTTTATTTTCAGCTTTATTTTCCAAAAGTACATAATACTTAACTGATTACAAAATTTAAAACCTTTTAACAAAATACAAACAAATAATAGAAATACATAATAGTCCAGGAGGTGGCGCCAAAAACATGCAAGAGTTTTCGCAAGGCGGATATTTTCAAAATAGGTTGTACTTTAGTGCTAGAATGCTAGTGTACAGTCAGCAGTCACAGTTCCGGGACAGCTGGCTCTGGGACGCGGGCAAAGTTGTAATTTTAAGAAGCATCTAAACTATTTTCTCAAAGCTCAAAATTTATAGAAATTTTGCACATTATCTGTTTGAAGGTCACAGATAACGTATGTAAATCGTCAGACGTCTAGTTCGTTGCAAAAAGGGGGTCAGACGTCCTCAAAGTTTTTATTTTATGGCATTTTCTTCGGTGTCCTGTCAAAATATATTTTTGCAGGTATTTGACAAATATATTTGAAGAAAATGCCATAAAATAAGAACTTTGAGGACGTCTGACCCCCTTTTTGCAACGAACTAGACGTCTGACGATTTACATACGTTATCTGTGACCTTCAAACAGATAATGTGCAAAATTTCTATAAATTTTGAGCTTTGAGAAAACAGTTTAGATGCTTCTTAAAATTACAACTTTGCCCGCGTCCCAGAGCCAGCTGTCCCGGAACTGTGAGTGCTGACTGTACACTAGCATTCTAGCACTAAAGTACGACCTATTTTGAAAATATCCGCCTTGCGAAAACTCTTGCATGTTTTTGACGCCAGCTCCCCAACTATAAGAGCGAACTTGAAGGGGCGTTAATGACATTGAAATCTGTCAGTTCTGCGTGGATTTTTTCAAATTCGTCTGCAAAGAGAAAAAAAGCTCACATCGGAATTGGCAGAAACATTCTTCGATAGTTTATCTAAAATCTGAATATTTTAGTTTTTCGATAATTTGCGTTTTTCTCGAAATAAAAATTGTATATCTGCTTGCCTATAGTCGTTATGGTTTATTTCTAAGAACTCGCAAAATATCGAAAAACTGAAATATCTGGATTGTTGATAATCGATCAGAGAATGTTTATGCAAATTTTGAGCCAATTCTAATGTGAGTTTTTTTTTCTCTTTGCAGACGAATTTTGAAAAATCAACCAATCAGAGTACAGAACTGACAGATTTCAAATATCATTAATGCCACCTACCTTAACCCTAGAATACTAACCCTCTAAAAACACACGTACATACTAACCTACGTAAAATTTACGTGTTCCGTGTTTTTAGGTGTCTGTGTGTTTGTGTGAAATGTAAGTTCTTTAGTTGTGTACATACATTAAATATGTTAAAGTAGAATTGAAAACAAAAAATCCCTCAAAACATTCATTTACACAGAATACAAAATAATAATTCTAGCCGCTTATATTTTGGAAATTTTGAGAAATAATCTTAATTTTTTTTGAATGAACAACACTCAGAACAAATTTGCGTTCATATTTTCTCAAAAATACAAATAAAATCTAACTAGTACTAACCCACGTAAATTTTACTGGAGACATGAAACGACTTTCATTTATGTAACAAAGGCGATGTCATCTCCTACTGGTATTGGGGGAAGCACTCTTGAAATTTAAGCGGATTGAATCACATATTTGGGAAATGGCAGCATATCAAACAAAAAGCACACGTGAAATTCACGTGAGTTAGTATTCTAGTGTTAAGGTAAAATATGAGCTAAACTGTGGTTTTATAAACGGAAAACGGCCACAGCAAATAGGCGTAAGCTTCTTCAAAATAATTGAAGTTTATATCCGGAAGAACAGAAATTAAATCACATAATTTGTTTCGTGTTTTTTTTTTTTCTAGCCTACTCTAGAGTGGGCAACTTTTTCATTTAGAGTGGGCATTGCCCACTCTGCCCCCCCCCCCTAGCTACGGGCCTGTGTTGAAGGTGAATCATTAAGTTTTCCAGCATCAGAACCAAGTCGTTATTGAGTTGTTGCATGTGATTAAGTTCACTATATTAGTCGCTGTTTTCATTATTCAGGTTAATTTCTATTTATTCTGTATTTTGCACTAATACCTTCAGTCAATGTTTCTTGATGAATGGCAAGTTTTTCTCTAGGTGCAATGTGACATTTAGAAACATTTGTTTCATGCCATTAGCTATTTTTAATTTTTAATTAACTTCTAGGTGTTGCACTTCTTCCATTTCTACATACTTGCTTTGTCTTAAATGCTTCTTTAGGAAGATCGGATCAGAAACACTTGACCATGTTAGACTTGAAGAACCAATTGTAGATCTTCAAGCATGACAAAACAATGTTTCATGCGGTGAAAAATTTGTTGCGTCACATAACAAAGGCCATATTGTATGTAAAGAGTCGACCAGGACCTGCTGCCAATGACTTATATCCATGTTTCTTGATCTTAGAGCTAACTGAATGGTTTTCCATCTGATACCATTATATCCTTTACACTGTCCGGTTCTTTGCGGTTTATCAGGAGTAGTGCGTCTTGTTGCAAAGACATATCGTGTCAAAAAGGTTTTGAGTTTTTCAGGTATAAAGGATGTCCCTCTATTATTAGTAGGCAGGTACCATGGTGTTCCAAAAACAGAAAAAAGTTTAGTAAGGGAAATGAATTGATGATAGTTGGTGAGTTCATGTCAGCAAAAGCAAAGGCAAATGCGAATCTAGAAAATTCATCTACTACAGTCAAAATAAAGCGGTTTTTGTACCTATATGGACCATTCATATCTGTTGTAAGTGTCGATAAAGGAAATCTTTTTGATTCAGCCTTGCCGATGTAGAAAACTCTCCACTACCTACAAAATCTTGTTCGCGTCTTCAAATGAGCAGTCGTTCCAGAAAGCTGATACCAAAACGTAAAAATAGCATTCATGCAAAGGTAGTTCAGTTGCTTTTTGAAAGTTTTTAACTATTGGCGAGCTACAACATGACATCGTATACCATGTCTCAGTCCTACAGTTGTGCGGCTCCTCTCGTATGTCGCCAAGTCTACACTGTTCCCATCAAAATCAGCAATTACAGGATATTATTATGTTTAATAACCCAACCATGTTTAGTTATGATGTAGGTACACTTAATTCCAAAGATGTAATATTGTTTTCATTTCAAGATAAAGATATTTGGAAATATGTTTCCCTATATCTCTAGAACTACATTTTCCATTATTTTTTTGAGACAAAAGGCTTTGTAAGCTCATGATCTCTCCGCACGAAAACCGCTTTGTGTAAAGTAATCCTCAATCAGGTCACGTAAAATTCTTTTGGGACAATCTACTTATTGTACTAGATACCAAGATACCGTTGAAGTAATTACAGTTCCTTTTGTTCCCTTTTGTCATAGATTAAGGTTTGTTCTACTTTCAAATCAAGAAAACTCGCAAAATTTCTCATAAATCTATCCACCCTATTCCTTTGTGAAATAACGTAAACCCGAGCCTCATATTATTTTTTGGCAATTGCCAAAATTATTACCATCAACATCCTTACTAGGATCATTCCAACCTCGGCACCCAAGAGCGAACGAGCGCCACCCATTGGCAGCGTGCTCGCGCAACCCTCTCGTCGTCGCACCCGGGCCAACCGACCACTCCTTGAAGCGTTGCCTGGACTGCTCTGGAATATACGTATTATCGCAGTCCCGTAAGCGCGAACACAAACTTTCCCCTGAGCGACGAAACGCGACTATTTTCAGGATAAAAAAAAAATTCCCTTCTGCGAACGAAACTTAAAACGAAATTACAATTTTTTTTTGCTTTAGTGAATTGAAGTTGTTTTCTTTTTGGCGGATTCGGTAGTGCCCGAGGACGGTCTGTAAATTCGAGATGAATTGGCTTTATAAATACTCGGAGACCACAGGATCGTGGATTCTGCCCGGGATCAGGGCCCCGCTTCAAAGGTAGGAAAACTTTGACTTTCAACATTTTCATTCACCTAACATTGTTGATTTTTTTTCGTATGCGTATGTATAATGTTCTACTTTAGACTGATGCGGGATGAGATATTTTCAATACTAAAATTTACTTTATTAAGAAATAAAAATGTAAATATAATTTTATATTTTGTTTATAATTGAGCATTTTCTGCTTTTATCAAAGCTTCATAACAGAAAATGAACAAGCAAAAAAAAAAAAAACTAACAAAGGCCACTTAAAAAAAAGCTCACAGAAGAGAGGAAGTTAACCATCTCAGTTGACCTTTAACATTTAACAAAGCAACAATATTATTGACAAATCTCTTATCTAACAAATCGATAAATCTGGGGAAAAGATAAATATCGATAAAATAAAATATAAAATTTGATTCAAATCCCATGAAGTTATGTAAATGAAACTTGTAAGTTTTGCAAAAGTTGTAACTTGAATCAGAACATTAATGTAGGTACCAAATTTCTTTTTAGCATCAAAAAGTTTTTTTTTTTTGTTAGAAAATTATTATTTACATTTTTGAGATAGTGTGGCTCATTTGTGACAGTTGTGCACACTAGCGCCACACAGACTACGCCTTGAATTTAATTATAGATTGGTGTTTATGTAAAGCAACCCCAATATATATCTCTGATACATATTTGAAACAGAAAAGATTTTGTTCGATGATTTCTAAGCAAAATTTCCGAACGCAACAAGGCGAATTTATAGGTTGAGTGAAGCCTTTCAAGAGCGAAAATATCAATATGGGAATATGGGGTTTTCGGATTTTAAAGGGGTAATGTATATGTGAATACGCGAGTTTATTGTTTATTTGTTTATGTAACTTTTGAGATTACAAATTAGGTTGTTTTTTAACTTGAGCAAAGAAAAATTGTTTGCAATATTTTAAAAAATGCATGTGACGTTATTGAATTGTTCCATTAAGAATAGGCAATATAGCTTCTAAGTTTTTTGTCAAGTGTGCTGTGGTTTCCAGTTGCCGCAACCCACAACTGTAGTTTGTGAAACTTTTCATTACATTTTGAGGTGCCGATTGTCTAGAAAGTTCGACTGTTCTAATAAAGATATCGTGTGAAAGGTATTGATAAAGATTGTTTATAGTTGAAGTGTGATATCGTTGAAGTATGTAACTGGTTTACTGCCAATTGTATAGAAATAAACCTATACCAATATGCCTTTCAGAAGTATGAGTGGAATGCAATAAATATCACCATACATAGGTACATCGTAATGTATAATGAATTAATTCAGAACATTTTGAGCAGTCTTTGTACTCGTACTCTTTTCACCTGCCAAAGCACTTTTATTATAATGGCAGATAAAAGAATCCTGCTTGGATTAAATAGTTTTTTCAGAAAGTATTCAAAAATATGGCATACTTACGCCGACTCTCTTTGAAGGAAATGGCCCACAGATGCAAAACCTCTAAATAAGAAATGAACAAAAGCAACCTTCTGAACTGCCCCAAAAGTTTTTGAAATACAATGAGATAAAGATCATCATCCTTGAAAGATCAAGCTATGGATAAAAATAAACCAGATAAAAGATAAATGCAATAGTTATGATAGATATTCATAGTATCTATGAAGGTAAATTATAAGGTGCTTAAAGAAGTTTCTGTGATAAATTCCCTTGAAAAAAAATATTGCTACAGATAACAAAAATTCGCATAATTATTTCCAGTTCTCGAGAGGTTGCCCCTTCTTTTAAGTACCCTTAGGCCAATCAACAGCCAACGCCTAAATCGCTCACAAATCATTTTATCCAGGGTCGGCTAACCAGGTAAATTTTTCAATCAGGAGATAGGGTCACCAATCTGAGAATAGATTGTTAGCTACACGGGCTTTTTTGTCGGCAAAATCTTTGATAAATATGTCAAGGTCTATTTCGTGTTATAGTGTATGTTGAGTTGTACATTATGCCTTATCCGACCAGTTGCTCTTGTGAAAATCATTGATTTCAGATAGTTCTTGAACAATTTTATTTTTGAAAATATACTCTCCAATGATGCAACGCTGAATAGAAGTGTCTTAAGTAAAGTTATCGCTCGATAACTCGCTGTAATGTAATGTAGGATAATATCTCTCTTGGTTGATGCCCACTTGGCTCAGGCGATAAAAAAAGGAGTATTTGATAAAGCTGGTAACCTTCGATATTAGTGTGGTCTTTGTCCGATTGAAATAATTTATTAAAGAAATATTTTTATCTTCAGATCAAAAAATGTCTTCATACTTAAATTTAAAACTATAAGTGTGACTGTACAGTTTGGGAGAACGTTCTTTCAATGTGTTGATAGCACACTCTAGCAGATACGTAAGTTACTTCTAATAACCTTCTTTAGGTTCGAAATTGCTTTATCTTCAGATTCTAAGCCCAAATCATGTGGGTTTTTCTTTTTATCACAGACTTATTGTGAAAAGTTGGTTTCACTTCCAGCCTCTCGGCAATTTCTTTTGTATCAACCAATATTTCTACACATAATTATCGGTTAATAACGTTCTATGCCTTCCGAATAACGATCTCTGTCATTTCCTCGTTTACTCCACTTCTCCAGCATCTTCTTGGACGCCGCGTTTTCTTCTTTCCTCTGGCTTCCACTCAATTATTTACTTGGGTATTCTTGTATCTTCCATTCTTTGTACATGTTCGAACCATATCAGTTGTTTGTCCTTTATATCATCTACTATTATGTGTCTTACGTCCATAATTTCCCTAATTCTCAGATTTGCTATCTATTCCCAAATATTTGTATTCAGTACATGTTTTATTTCTTCTCCGTTATCGAATTCCAGAGTTCGTTGTTCACCTCCTATAGTCATATATTATGTTCTGTTAAAGTTACATTTACTTTCAAACCCCATTTCTCATATTCCTTTATCAATTTACGTGTCATGTACTCTAGGTCATCATAGTCCTGTGCAATTAATATTTGGTTATCTGCAAAGCTTATAGTACATATATTATATATTAAGAGGTATTCACATGTGTTTGCATTTGTTTTTCCACCCCTTCAGCGCTTGTTCTAAGTATATTTTAGGAAGTTTTGATGATTATGCAACATCCTTGTGTAAAGGGGGTGTAAACAAAAAATACGTTTTTGATTTATAATATGTGAAAAAAAAATCCAAGAACATCAAGAACGTCGCTTTTCTGCCGGATTTCTATCAAAAGATTGTTACAAATTAATTTACATTTGTAACTTTAAGACAAGATAACCTAGGGACGTGGAATTTAAAAAATTGAGATAACGTGTAGTCCCTTCATGTGCAAATGAAACCACTCAAAATCCCAACAAACAATAGTTTTATTTGATATTTAACAAGTTGTGTTTAATAATATAGTGACAATGCCACTTTTTAAAACATGAAGTTGACAGCTTGGTTTTTCCAGTGAATCTGATACCATGTATCAATGGGTGTTGGGGTTTCACTTTCGTGAACTGGAGCTCTTCGTGTTGTTTCCTGTATCCAGGAAGAGGATAGATTGCTGGAGTGACGTCACTCCAGCTGATCTAGACTTCAAACAGTGATTTTTATGTCGAGTAGGTACCTACCCAGAAAAGAATAAGGCAGTATCAGGTTCACCAATTTTTGTAATATTAAATCCCTGAATTCTGTCAAAAAGTGAGTGTCTTGCAAAGGAAATTGAAATTGAGATTTAATATAAAACGATTGTTATACAGACACTCCCTTCCAACAGAATCAGGTATGAACAGCTATTGCAAGTTGAAGGAAAAAAATATATATATTTTAATATAAAAAAATTACAATCAAAAAATTGAGAATAATGGTAAGATAATAATAAAATTAAAATAATAACAAGATTCAATTAAAATGCTTGTTATGATTGAGCAAAATTCTGCTTTCCTGACAGTAGCTCTGGCAGGCAAAAATATGAACAAAATAAGGTAAAACAATAAGAAATTAAATCTTTGGATTCTCCCCCAAATAGACAATATTTTCCTTTCAAATTAAGGTAGCAGGTAGCTACTATAGATTCTACAAGATAAACCTGACGGTGAAATCAATGAAATCCAGAATATGTCAAAATTCTTGAGATGTTTTAATTAAAACTTTTTTACTGAATTTTTGACCTGTCTGGATTTCTATTAAAAAATTACACCCTTTAGTCAATAATAATTGACAGAGTCAAACAGAAAATGGCTATTCAGGCCTCTGCCTGGATTCAATAAAGAGTTGATAGGGATGGACACACAAATTTGGTTTTCACCGACTCTATTTAGAGCAAATGGTCCAATATTCTCACATTAACAATTGATTTTGAAAACCAGAGCAGCAGTACCTATTTAATTTCAAAAGTCTGAATTGACTTACCTCAAGAAAACGTGGCACTATCAATCTGCACTCACACAAAATGGAAGCACACAATTAGATTTAAAAAAATATTAAAATATAATATTTATATTTCAAGAACAGATAAGATAAGATTTATCAGGTAAAAACTTAACAATGATATGATAATATGAATTGATAGCAAAGGGAGAATCCAAAAATACAAAGCAAAACTTATTCGAAATAAAGAGGACTTGCCTGCCAGACTTCTGTCGAGGAAAGAGAACGTATTAGAAACCAAAGCCCACAGGAAAACGATCTTGTGTTTTTTAAACTCAACTGCATTTTAACCAGTTCAATCAATTAGACGAGTACACCCAAAAGATCATATTCACTTTACAATGAAAACACAATGAAAAGCCACGTGGAATAAAAAAGAATAGATAAAAATCGACTAAAATTATTTTAATTGTTTACAAATTATAATAATTTAAATCAAGGTTATGTCAAAAATAAAAAAAACTATTAATCAATTATTAGGTCATTAAGACACAAATGATTATTTCAGAATCAGAAGTTAGAGAAAGACAGAAATATATCCATTTGCTAAAAGTGAGATAAATATAATTTATTTCAATGAAAATACAAATGACTGTCAAATGCGAAATAATTAAAAT